TCAAACAAAAAAAAAATATATGGAGGAGTTACATTGAGCAAAACAAAATATAAAAAAAATATATATCAGCTCATTAAAACACTCGTATTTTTTTTTTAATAGTAACAACATGTCAACTAGTTTATATTTTTTATTTATATTTAAAAATTATTTGAAATAACATGTTAATCTTTTAAACTTGCATATTTTACAATGTGTGTGGCATGAATCTATTTAATCCCCAATAATTATATTTCCTTTCTTCTTTGTGTCATTCTATTATTATGTATTTTTTTTATTTCAACTGTAATTTATAGAAATCAAAAAGTTGAACACCCATATCCCTAATAATTCGCGAGCATGGCTGAAGCAACGTAACGGTCTCAATTTTACACCTATCAATACAAATATAATAGAGTAAATTACATTTGACACTTAAAATTTATCGTTTTATCACTTAGAACCTTCACATTTAATATATTACACTTAAACCTCAGAAGGTACATGCACGTGCAACACATAAGTTCAATCGTTAGTCTCGGTTAACAAACCGTTCAAAATTCATGATGTCATCCTTACATATAAATTTAATTTATCGAACTATCCTTTATATGGAGCCCACTGTCAACTGATTAACTGACCAAGCCTCTAATTAACCCTAAAATTTAAACCCATAAATCAAAGCAATTGACTCCTCAATTAGTGCCTCCACCGCCAACTTCCTTCAATCACCACAGCGACACCCCTAACAATCCCTTCCATCACAACACCTCTCTCTCTCTCTCTCTCTGCCACCGTCAACAGCCCTCCACCAACCCAAAAAATCTTAACCCACTGCCACCACCAATCCAAAAAAGGTTATGGCACCATCAATACCTCTCCACCAACCCAAAAAACCCTAACACACTGCCTTTACCAATAAAAAGAAGGGTAATAACGAGGGGGCATGCACATGAGAGGAGTTTTTTGGGTGGGTATGCACAGGAGGGGGAGTTTTTTTTGTGGGGGAAGGGGTATACATAGGAGGGGAATTTGGGGGAGGGGGTTCTGCACAGGAAGGGAGTTTTGGGGGGAGTTGGGTTTGCGTATGTGTGTGTGTTAGAGAGAGAAGAAGGTTTATGGGGAGAGGGTGGTCTGCGCAGGAGGGGAGTTTTGGGGGGTAGGTGGGTTTGCAATTGTGACACAGAGAGAAAGAGAGAGAAGAGGGTTATGGGGAGGGGGTGGTCTGTGCGGGAGGGGAGTTTGGGGGGGAGTGAGTATGCGTTTGTGAAACAGAGAGAAAGAGAGAGAGAAGAGGGTTATGGAGAAGGGGTCCGCATGGGAGGGGATTTTGGGGGAGGTGAGTTTGCGAGAGAGAGAGACAGAGATGGGCGAAATAAGAAAGAGAGAAGAGGGCTATGGCAAGGGGCTGGTCTGCGCAAGAGGGGAATTCGGGGGAGGTGGGTTGCGAGACACAGAAAGAGAGATGGGTGAGAGAAATCTGAAGATATAGGTAAATGGGCATATTGGTAATTATAGCTTAGTTAAGAAAATATCTTGTATTTTGGGTGTATTTTGGGGGTATTTTGGTCTTTTAAGCATTTCTGTTGGCTCCGTTATTTAATTGTCACCAATAAAGGGTCTGAATGTAATATTTTAAATGCGAGGGATCTATGTGATTAAGTGACAAATCTCAGAAAGTTTGAATGTAATTTACTCAATATAATATAAATCTTAAAATTAATTAGACATCCTCGGTGCAAATATTTGTAACCCTTTAAGACCAAATCACGAAAGATTTATCCAATATGAATACCCGAATTTTAATGTAGGTGATCTATCTTTAACTAGATTTAAAAATAAATTATTCAAAATATACGTAATCTGACCCAGATATCTTTGACCATATTGAACTAAAAAAAATAAATCCTAAAATTAACATAATTGATAAATAAATAAATTAATATATATAATTAAATTAATATTTAACATATATTGTATTAAATAAAAAAAATTATAGACAGGAATTATAATTATTTTTTTTTTGGTCTGACACGAGTTATTACGATAACGTTCGCAAATAATAACATGTGGCATTTGACGACGTCCGAAACTGCTAATTCTGTACGCAATCAAAGGCAAGGTGGTGGGTGGCTGCCCATTTCTGTGAAAGAGAGCATCCACAATCTTTCAAAGTACGTGTTTGACACCGTTTCAGTGCCTACAAATCAAATGCATAAGTGAACCTTTTGGATTTTAAGACAACCTTGAAGTTAAAACTGTTTTACCAGAAGTCAACTTTGCCATAGTTTTCCACCAAGCAGAGGGAGAGAGGGGACACAGAGAGAGATTCGCAGTAACCCAACATCTCTCTCTGATAAAATTCAAGCAAGATCCAGTTGAATAGTTCTCTTCAAAGCAGGTATATATTTCTTATCAAACAAATTCAGGTTCACATGTTTTGGTTAAGCTGATTTTTGGTGTAAAATCACAACTATTGATTAAATCTCTCAAACTGATAGGTGGGTCGACCTTCAACCTCTCTCTTTTTTTCTCTCTCTCCCCCTTCCTGTTTGTGGATGGGTGAAGAGGGACTGGTTGGTGATACCGAGAACACTGAAAATTCAAAGACAAACCCAAAACTAACTCTCTTGCCTCTTATTGCACTTATATTCTATGAGGTTTCTGGGGGTCCGTTTGGCGTGGAAGATTCTGTCAGGGCTGGAGGTGGCCCTCTTCTATCCTTGCTTGGTTTCTTGATATTCCCCATATTTTGGAGCATCCCAGAAGCTCTGGTTACAGCTGAGCTAGCCACAAGCTTCCCTGAAAATGGTGGGTATGTCATTTGGATATCATCAGCTTTTGGGCCATTTTGGGGCTTCCAAGAAGGTTTTTGGAAATGGTTTAGTGGTGTTATGGACAATGCCCTTTACCCAGTATTGTTTCTCGACTACTTGAAGCATTCGATTCCCATATTTAATCGGATGATTGTTCGAATTCCATCTCTTTTAGGTATTACAGTTGGTTTAACATACTTGAACTATAGAGGGCTACATATAGTTGGGTTTTCTGCTGTTTTGCTTGCCATTTTCTCCCTTTTTCCCTTCATAGTAATGGCTATTCTCTCAATTCCTCAAATTAGGCCTAAACGATGGCTCGTTGTAGATATAAGAAATGTGGATTGGAGGGGATACTTTAACACCATGTTTTGGAACTTGAATTATTGGGATAAAGCAAGTACATTAGCAGGGGAGATCAAAGACCCGTGTAGGACTTTCCCTAAGGCACTCCTGGGGGCTGTAGTTTTGGTTGTTTGTTCGTATTTGATTCCACTTCTTGCGGGTACAGGAGCTTTGACGTCTGATCCTAGTGAGTGGAGTGATGGGTATTTTGCAGAAGTTGGGATGTTGATAGGAGGGTTTTGGCTAAAGTGGTGGATCCAAGCAGCTTCTGCCATGTCTAATTTGGGGTTGTTTGAAGCAGAAATGAGTGGTGATGCCTTTCAACTTCTTGGGATGAGTGAGATGGGAATGCTCCCAGCTATATTTGCTTCCAGGTAAGTAGTTTTGCCTGCTTTTGCTTCGTTGCCTATTGTGACAGTGTAAATGGATCACATAGTATCAACATGGCATTTTAGCTTCAACGCTCCCTTTTCGTCTTATTTATAAGGTTCATGTAGCTCGTAAGCAATACATCTACAAAGAATATGATGACATTAGTTTGAATTAGAAAAGATATGAAAACTTGAATAGACATTGAGGACAGAAGTTTGTCATTGAAGTGTTTTTCCAGTTTTCCCTATTCCTGTCGACATAATCTTGTCTGCCATTGATTTCTATAGCAAGTGTTTGGAAGGAAATGTTTGGTTTTCGAAAAATTACATGCCAGATTTCTGTAGAAGGACCTTATACATTGAAGTACAGACCACCAACAGTTAGTATCTTGTGCTCTGCATTTAGTGTCATCTTTTTCTTATGGATTAGTTTGCTGGATCTTGTCATGAGTTTATAGCACTTTAGTACTTGAGCATAATTTTGAGCATGTTATCTCTATTTTAGTAATGCTTCCCTTGTTTGGAACAACAAAGTTGCTTTTTTGAGCATGACAAATGTTATCAACAAACTTTGTAGATCCAAGTATGGGACGCCAACCATCAGCATCTTGTGTTCTGCAACCGGGGTGATCTTCTTGTCATGGATGAGTTTTCAGGAAATCTTGGAATTCCTTAACTTCCTCTATTCTATTGGAATGCTTCTTGAGTTTGCAGCTTTTATAACATTGAGAATAAAGAAGCCGGATCTTGACAGACCTTACAAGGTTCCTTTACATACATTTGGAGCAACGATGCTTTGCCTGCCTCCTGCTTTCTTGCTTGTTCTTGTCATGTCTTTGGCATCTGTAAAGACATTTCTAGTCAGTGGTGCAGTTATTATTGTTGGGTTTGCCTTATACCCCACTATTCTCTATGCAAAGGATAAAGGGTTGGTCCTGTTTTGTACACAACAACTATCAGGGCCTTCTGATAATGATGTTGAAGGCCATCCAATTCTATCAGAACAGCTTCAAGATATCACTGATGAAGCTTCTGTCAGCCTTCTTTCAGACTCTTCGTCTTCTAAGGCCGAACAAGTGTCTGGATTATCTGGGGAAGCTCTGAAATTGGAGTAGAAGGTCGTCTCAACCATTTTGTACTAAAGTTACAGAATGAGAAGCAGTTTTTTCCATTCACTAGATTGAATGATAACATATAATTTATAAGCAGATTTTTTATTCACTAGATTGAATGATTGCATGTAATTTATAATGTACTTTGATTAACCATCCAAATTGCTATTTTATTATATTTAATGATTGGTTAATTACATATTATTTGTGATTAAATGTGTTAAATTTATTGATTTTCTAGTTGTATGATTTATTTTGCAGGTAAATTGGTTAATTTAAAGTCATAATGAATAAAGTGAGTGAAACAATCACTTGAAGAAAATCACAAGTGATAAGGATTGAAGAGTCAAGATTAAAATATGAACATTTGAAGATATGACAATAATTTAATTCTTATAAGAGTCCAAATTAGAAGAAAATTCATTTAAAGTTGGATTTGGAAAGTACCTTAGAAAATAAGAACTTGACACGTTTTCAGTATTTTGGTCATAACTTTTAACTTCGATATCGGATTGACCTATTTTTTCCAAGTTGAAAAGAAGACTTCAAGGGCTACAAAAGTGTATTTCACAAAAATTTCGTGAATCGACCTTTAATTATACGAAATTTGAGCTCAAAGTATAAGCAGATTTTATACCCAGACACCAAAATTTTATGCGTGGGATTTGACTTTAAAAAACTTCTTTTTGGAAAGGAATTCTTCTAAATTCAACTTTATATCTTCTACCTATACGTAAGATTTATTTTAGTATAAATAAAGGCTCTCATATGAGGATTTAGATGATTAAAATTATTATTATTCTCTTCTCATATTTTTCTTTTCTAATTTTTATTTTAGTTCATCATATCTGGTTAAAAGGTTTAGCTAGGGTTAGGGAGGACCTTTCAACGAAATACAATAATGTTATTGACTTATGAACTTAATGATATGTGATATTTTGTTAATTTAACTTTTGATTTCTTAGCAAAGCTTTTGCTTTGTAAAAATCCTTGAGTCATTTGTCATGTACTTTGATTGCTTGAATTTTCCTGCGAGTCAAATAACTGGTTATTCCATGCTTAAATTGATTACCATTATTTCACATAATAATATAATTAAAGGTTTATTTAGGTTCTTGAATAAATTTTTGATTATAAACAAAGGTATTTTCTTTGTTTTATCGCTAAATCTGGTGATTTGAATCAACCGATATTTGATTCTTGTCTAAGTTTAAAAATTAAGTCTTTAATCATTATTGTATAGATTTGAGAGATAGTACCTAACGCTCTAGTATTTTTTATACTGTTTTAATTACTTCATTCAATTTTATAAATTCAAATATTCTTTTAAACAAAACATTTTCACAAGATTGTTACACAATTAGTATGATTGTTGCTGTGTCACAATTCCTTAAGAGTTCGACCTCGGTCTGCCGATAAATATATTAATTCGCTCAACCTACGTTTGGGGTTACACATTTGAAGTTAAAGCATACTTATTCTTTACTCTTTTGTTCTAATTTATGTACACTGCAATGTGTCTTCTTATCTTTGTAAACCCGGTATCCATGAGATTTAAAACTTCAAACAAGATTTTACCATTCAAAATGGGAGAATTTTATCCTTGACAACCAATGTGTCCAGTCTACAACCAAACGAAAAACGTTAACACTTCACCACAACCAAATGCAGTCTTATAAAGTACTGTTGAGAAAACAAGAACATGGATAATGCTTTAATCAAGTGCCATTGAGAAAACAAGAACACTGAACAAAAGAAAAACGAAAAGCTGTGATTCATAAGAGGCCAATAGAATTTAAACAAGTAGATCTAAACTGCTATGATATCACAAATGTGAACATAAATTACATGAAAAAACATAATCAGTTATGCCGACTGCTGCTAAAGATCTAACTAAACAATTGTGTGGGTTTGTCATTTCTTCAACTGTGCTTCTCCATACATGTCATGGCATCAATTCTGCAGAACCGTTCGAAGAGTTCACTTTGTAGGATCCCATATTATCTGCCTCCTTCGCATTGTGCAACCAAATATAATTTCGAGCATGAGTATGAAGGCGGTGAGTGGGGATCAGCAGCTCATACTATTACTCAGTGGCTACTTTCTCTAAGCTAGCCATATATGTAATGTAGACAGTCCATAGATATGAAAACGAGTTGCTCACCAAAGGCTGCCACAGCGAAAACACGAATAAAAAAACAAAAATTATACATTAAGAAAAAATCATTTTCATAATAAGGATGTACATAAGCCTCCGTTTAAATGACAACACAATAAACCAAAAAAGAAGTGGTCGGAACACCACCCCACAAAAAAAGAACAAAAGGAAAAGAAAAACACCAGCAGCACCACAATAGTAACCTCAAACTCTTTAGCCCAAGAGAATTCAAACATGACTGGGCTTATGGCCTTCTAATCCAATACATCTCCTAACTATGACAACTTTAAGGACAGGTCTTCCCCTTTGAACCCATTGGAACTTTGTACAAGTTTATCCATACATACCTGTAAATGAACAGGGATGAATTTGAATGTCACAAAATCACAGATGGGCCAATACATAACACCATTTATCATCGTAGGGATCAAGTCACGCTTCAATCGACCAACAATCTCTGCACCAGTTTCACCTGAATGTGGCAACCAAAGCAATACTTATAAACAGCTGAATAGAGCACAATGAAAACTAGATGCCTTTCCTAACAAAAGTATATGACTCTACAAAAGGTGATTAATGATAGAGCACTAAGAATGGGCTTTGCATACATATAAGACATCTTGTTTTGCACAGGTAGATGTTATACGGATATAATGCTAATGATAATAAATCAAGTGTGGAATTAAATTAAATCTGTATTCTGAATACCTACATCTGGATATAGGTTTCAGACACTAGTGACACACATAAAACTCCACATAGATTAGTGCATACAGGATACAAAATTACATGTGACTTGCATCAAATGGTACATGTGTAGGACCCTGCCTGTGGTTCGAGCATTATTACAATAATTGCCACGATTCAGGTTAGGGACAGAACCACAAATTAGGCAGATGATATAAAAGTTGATTTTGATTGGTTTTATACAACTAACCATTTTCATCATCAATAGCTTGTAGAATAACCCATTGAACAAAATTCTTGATAATGCCAATGTGTGACCCCCAAGAAAAAATCCTGGTTCCGTCCAAAACTGGAGCATATATTCACAATCCATTCCCCCAAGAACATAATAAGCATAAGAATCTGAAAGACAGCCTAAAGAAAGCATCCAAATAAATAATTTTTGTCATGGTGGTACCTTGTAGACCTGCATTCACGGAGAAGAAAACAACAGTCATTGCAGGCCCATATATTGTCTGCCCCAGCACTATTTTTTTCAATGTAGTGATGAGATCACGCTGTGGAAGGGCTTTTGACACAAAGTTGAACCAAAAATGTACTGATGGTCCTAAAATTAGCATTCCATATCCAGCCATGCGCAATGTCCTCACAAGATCATATGGCTCCGAAGATGGCTGTGCAATCATCTGAGGAAAAGTTGTAGTGATATGTGAAATTCAAAGAAAATGGGGATGCAATATCAATTCAAGAAAACTTATTGAGCATAAAAGATATGTCTAAACCTACACAACATATAAGATGGCCAGCTACAGTTGTAGAAAAATCTAGACACTATGTCATTGCAAACCAGAAGATAGAGGATTGATGGTTAATAAGTTGTACTACAACAGAAATTTAACTTGCATGGCATATAAACAAACAACATTCTTACCTTCAAAATGCATGGGCATATAAGCACGCACACATGAAACAAAATTGAAAAAAACACACTGATAACATATTCTATTTCATGCAGCCAAATCATCTAGAATAAATTATTTTTATTGCGCAAGACCTAAACTATTCAAAGACACCTGCCAAGAGGAAGGGGGAGGCGGGGGCAGGTAGGATGCACCGAAATAATTTAGGATAAAAGTTTTGATGAAGAACAACAAGGGTTATGTATCTGGAGACTAATCATCAATGGATGTCAGTACAACAGTTCAATTGGCAATTCAATTCATTAATTATCTCCATCCCTCCTTCTCTTCCCTTGTGTTTGTGTATGTGTGTCCAACAGAGGATCCCATAAAAAAAAAAAGATCTCAGCACTTATTAAATATGTGCTCATTTTGATGTCTTATGATTACTTAACTCCAAGCATACACCTATTAGCAAATTACAATATCAGAGTATTTTAAAGGGCATAAACAACAACAAAAAAAGGAAGGGGGGGGGGGGGAGACAAGCCTACAAAATGTATGACCTAGTTGAAAATTTTTGAGGTGGACAAAGATAAATATCACGGAAAGGAGGTGAGAAAAGGACTACTTTAACTCGACAATCAAGTAGCTACTTCTGTAAAATAGATCAACATCAAAAGTTTCTTAACACTAGGATTCTGCATGCATTCAATGATGGCACGTGAACTTTGTGGGTTTCTTTTCAGCAATAACATCAAACACAATGCCTCATTGCAGCAAACAGGCAAATCTCCAATTTTTTTGCCAATAATAATGCTATCACATCACGCCTTGGTGTTATAAACATACATATCCAACAATTTTTTGTTTCCAATAATAATATCATACTCACATAACACCAGAGATTTATGGGTATAAGACAGCCAATACCACTAGTTGTTTGACAGTTGAACAATTCTTGCTGTTAGTGTGTTAGGGTGACTTGTTTGTTACAACACAGATTCTGCTTTGTAGTAACTACTCTTTGTGGGATTCTAATTTTAGTTAAACTCCTCGACGTTCGCTTTTGGGATGATTTTTGTCTGTGCCGCACTCTTTTTCTCAATTCAACTGCAAATTCAAGATATGGTTCAAAGCATTTTTTCATATTGTCATGTCTATATCCTGATGGTAAATCTGATCGTCTAAAGGTTCTGTTGATGGTAATTGATAAATAAATACATCTCGTGCTACTTGTTCCTATCATATTTTCCTTTCTCCACACTCAATTCTAAGATACAACTTCATGTTAAGAAAGTTAAAGATGGAGAAATTCAAGAAATAAACTAATAAGGAATGCATGGAATGAAGTCCGACAAAGCCCATCTTTCTCACAACCGTATAGGAATCATAAAAATGATAACATATTTTCGAAATGTTAACTTATTTCGAAATGATAAAGCCTATTTAGGAAATGATAACATATTTCCTAGATATATTGGCATTACCTATAGTTTCTGCTGTAAAAAGATAAAGCGTGCTCTCATTCATCTTTGAAAGCATGCAATTGGAAAGCAGAAACTTGTTCATATTTTCCAAATGTCTCACAGTTCAAAAAACTGTCACATTCGCAACCTAAGCTCAATTTGTAAAATTAAAAAAATGAAATGATTTCTTTTCATCTGTGATGACAAACTCACTAACTAGAAAGCAAACGGGAAGGAGCAATGGGATGGTTTCGACATAAAGTTTGATCCTTTTTCCTTGACAGTCATAAGTTTGTTTCCTGTAACACTTACCCAATACGAGGGAATTTTATTTGTTTTGATAGGGAACATAGACCATAGTAACTGTAACAATGGAGAAACATGCGAGTTTTATGAATTTTCAAATACACATACAACCTTTCAGACTAGTTTCATCGCCACTAAACACCCAAAAAGCTCTAAGTAAAATTGCACCCTCCAATACAGAGGACATTAAAGTTACTAAACATCCCATAGCTAAAAACTAACTCAGACTAAAAGCCTTATTTCACTTATTCTCCTTCAGACGAAGTCGATTCAATTTTAGCATTCAAGGACTTTAGGGGCAAACAACTATAATCACCCTATAAAGCAGCTTTACAAAGTAAGATTTTTTTACCAGATTCCATACACACCATTTAGAACTTCAAGCTCAAGTTCAAACACCACAAGAAATTCAAATCCTTTGAAGAACCTAACTCAACTCAATAAACACTCAGCCCCAAAAATGGTGGGGTCGGCTAAATGAAAATTTCTCTTTCGCCATTGTGCTTATCAAGGTCATGATTACTGTTAAACAATAAGAATTCATTATATCTTTTTAGTTAATTTTACCCTACCTCAACCTTTGCGCTTATCGTCAAGTGCTATCAAGTCTTTAGAAGAACCCATTAAACATATACTTTCACGCAAAGCAAATGATTCAGCTCTCCACAAATAGGATTGAATAACGTTTTCCCAGAAGGGTTTTCCGGGAAAAGAAAGAGTACTTTTCCTATTTCTGTTTTTAGTTGTACCTGAGAGGACAAGTCGGCAGCTGTGTAAATAAAGGCGGCAGTGATGCTTTTAGTGAGAATGGGGCGAGACTTCACCATCCCCAAATACCACCCGACAAACCTAATCTTTGACACAAAACCAACCTTTGAAGCCGACGAGGTCGTTGAAGAAATAGGAGAAGACAATACAACAGAAGGACACAGCGAGAGGTTTTTAGGCTTCCCGTAGGGAGAATGGGGGAACCGGGTATGAGCATTGGAATGTTGTAGTTGTCGTTGACTTCTCACGGTCGGAGCTCCGATTGAGTCGGTGATCGACTGTCTCGGCCATAGATTGAATGCGGAGTGGCGGCTTTTCACGCCACTTCTGATAATGCAGGCACTCATCTCTCTCTCTCTCTCCCCCTCCAAAGCCGTAGAGCCAACTCTCTCTCTAAATCTCTCTCGTTCTCTCCCTACACTTTAGGAATTGGGAGGTATGTACGAGGGTTTTAGGAAAGAGATGTTTTGGGCGGAACAATTTGGGGAGCGAGAGAGTTGTAAGGGACACGAGAACTGTGTGTACGGTAGGTGTCTGTTGGAAATTTGACCTTTTAATTTTTAGATTGACCACTACGCTCTCGTGTACCACTTTATTTGACACTCGCTGCCTTTTTGTCCCTCTTTCAAATTAACAGGGGTAAAAAAACAGATTCTTTAATTTTGTTTTCGATTTTAAATTAGTTTTTAAAATTTTAATTATTTTAATTTAATTAATTTAATTATTAATTTTATCTCAAATAAGTATTTTTGTCCATTTTTATTGTTAAATTAATGTTAAAATAGATCATATTAGACTAATCTTAAATTAAACTAACAGTAAAAAATGATGAAATGACTTACTCAAGATGAAATTGATAAAGATTAAATTAGAACAATTAAAAGCTCAAAGATCAAATTAAAATCAAAGGTAAAGTTAAAAGACCAACTATAATTTTACCCAATCAATAGATCTCTATTATTGATTAGGAATGTGACTTTTTATATTGAATTTTGGGTGTATTAGCAATAATTTCATGACTAAAAATAATCTGTAATACTCAAAATCGAATATTGATTATGTATCATTTATATTTTAAATAATAATATAAAAAAAAACCAAGAGAGAGGTGGGGGAAAGACAATAGAGAGTTATTGTGGATTAGTGATAGTATGTTGGTTAAATTATCTGCTATTTGGGGGTCGTGAAAACATCTTCTCTATAAAAAAATATTTATTACAACGATGATATCATGTGGTAATATTGACGTAGTATCATCAATTAATAATACCAAAACAAATAAATAAATGAGTCTCACTAAAATTAATAATCAATTCTCCATATAGACAATAACTAATCACTCTTTTTTCATATAAGCAAATAATTACTTAAATGACAACTGAGTGAGGTGGTCCAGTAGAGTATCAGCTGAAGTTTCACTTTGAGGTTGAAGGTTCGAGTCTTGTACTCTACATTGGGGTTTAGTGATTGACTGATATGCTAGCCTCACTAAGTTCGTTCTCAAGTGGAGTAACGGGCGCGTAACCTATTAGGGTGATCTTTGAGTGCTCTCCTATGCTCCCACCATTTTTTTTCAATAGCAAAAAAAAAATATTCAAGTGGATTTTATTTTATTCACTTAGTGTTTTATTATTGATTAATGGTATTATGTCAATATTGTTAATATAATATCCCAATTACATTCAATATTTACTCGTTCAAAAATGATTTGAGCTAAAAAAATAATTTTGTAATTGGAATTGAAATTTGTTTCAAGAGTAGACATGACATGAGAAATTTCGAAAACAACCAACCTGTCAGCGAGTGTGCTATTTTCATCAATGCCGAGAGTAGTCTAAGTTGGATTCAATAGACGTCAGTCAGACACTTCTAGAAGTTTCTTTGAACCGACGAACCAAATTGAAAAGTTCCCGGCAGTTCAGGCAGCCATCAGCGTCTCGACACGTGTTCAAATAAGGCATCATTTTTCCTACACGTGTATGTCCTTGTTAATACGTTACACTAAGTTTGCAGTAATGTCCCTTTAAATTTGCTTATTTTTATTCAGCCCATAGAACTTTTGTTTTTGTATCATTTCTCTCCGTCGGAATGGGGATGAAGAGATTCAAATCCATAACTTCAAATCTAATAGTGGGAGCAAAACCTCTGTTCAATGCTTGCGAAGATGCGTGAATAAACATATAAAAATATTCTCCAAACGCAAATCATTGTCCAATTAAATCCTTAATAAACAATTTTTCAATGGGATCCTTTTGGAACTCATTATGATCTTAATTATTTACGACAAATCATGTTAATCGGCTCAAGAAAGCTCAGTCTCAATTTATATGATCGGTATTGATTAATTTTTTAGAAGACTAATGCTATTTTCATAATTTGTTGATTTAATAATATAATTTCACTGAAATCATTAGATCAACATCAAGTATCAAACCGAAGGGTGTTGGAAAGGGAGCCCCAAATGTCAAATTCAACTTTGATGTATTGCTTCCAACAAGAGATTGAATGTCAATACTTCTGCAGTATGAACTGAAGGAGTGAGAGAGCTCCCCAGTGTGCCTTCTGCACCCAAATTCTGGAGATTTGTTATGATCATTTGAAGCCTTAATTCGGCCACATAATCTTTAATTTTGTTCCCTGTAAATGGGTAAATGATCAATGGCAGCTAAAGTAGCTTGAATTTTAGGATTTCCTTTCTATATCCAGGAGTGCTGAATGCTATTTTCATCCTTTTCGGTAGCATTGGTTAGAAAATCAAGCAATCGAGTTGCAAATTATATAGCTCAATACGCCATCAACTGTATTAATGGGTGTTATTGGAGGGAGGCAGTTCCGGTTTTCTTGTTACCCTCCCTCTAACATGATGTTTATCGTTCCAATTATGTTTTTAATAAAATAGAAATGTTTCTTATCAAAAAAAAAAAAAATTGTAATGAAAAGGCCCTTTTACAAGTTGATGACAGGGAAATAAGGAATGAAAAGATAAATAGGTGCAAGTTTCTAACCCAATGTAATTGCTATTGCTCTTGCTCTTGCTTCCAAAGTTGCCCATTTGGCATTTGATTCCTTTTTTTTTAAGCTAGGTTAAAAAGAGGAGTGATCAGTAGGTAGTAATTTATGGGCGCGACAACCCAACTGTAGAATATCTGATTTGAGTCATAACTATTATTCTGAAAGAATAATTCGTCACCATAGTACTACCAAAGATAAACAACAACTGCGATACTCTCGTGAATCAAACATATCTTGATAACCACATGAGAATCACCGACGACTTTAAACGAGTATGGGTTACCACTAGACCTCGGATGATTGGCATTCCTTGCTAGAATAATGTTCAGCACAAAGATTGAACTTGATCATAACAAGCTACTTTATTATCACAATACCTATTGCTTGCAAATACAGGCTGCTAAAAAAGTCTGATGCTCTTGCAATACACATTATAAAGATGGACATAAAACTTCTATGTATAATTTGATGATTTTCAGCACTTATCTTATAGACTTCTTCAGCATCCGAAGTCATAGGATACCAGCCCTTTCAGCTCGGCTCCGTTAAGTCTGTTGTTCTTAAAACTGAACAAAAGACAGAAGGCAGAAAAATGAGTTAAGAGTACCAAGAAATGAGACTTAAGTTAGCAATTAACATAGAAACAATCTTAGACGACTCGAAAGCATCACAATCCCTCACTAATATTATAGTAGATAAGGCTATGCAGGCTCCATCTACAAAGGAGGGTTTCTACTTTTTTCCCCTATACAAATCCATTTATTGCAAAGAGTGGGAAGTATGAGCACAAATCCTCTCGGGTATTGGGTTAAAAGCATGATTTAGGTATGTTTACCCTCTTGAAAATGGGTATGTTGTTTTGGAAAAGCATATTTTAGGGTATGTCTACCATGTGTTTGAAGAAATGCCCAAATGAGAGCAAATATTGCCCTCTCACTCTGTTTACCCCCCCCCCCCCCCCCCTCCTCCCGGGGGCGTTAGGAAGTCTTCCTAAGGTGAATGAGTGACAACAACTTTTTTTCAGAGGCCTGCTGATGCGAATTTTACTCGAGGAATCACGAGGCAAACACGACGGAATATTGTAGTACTGTTTACTATGGTAGCTTGACAATAATATTCACCTCAAATTCCTCTAAAACAAAGGCGTACTCTTTGTAGAACTGTATAGTATTAAGGGATATCAATTCAAAAGCAAGTGCATAACCGCAGTTCTCAATCACGCCCTAAAAATCGATTATCCTTGTTGAGTGATCGTGGCTGAGAGTACAACTACAAAGAATTAGTGTCACAGTCAAGTTAGGCCAGTTATCAATTTGATCTAAGAAATGCAAAGAAAAAATTCAACTGCTTAATGGTTTCCACATCCCTGGACTTAAAGCTGGTATATACTCGATTTCCAACGTATTTAAACAGGGGTGCAGTGTAATAATATGATACCTTTCCATGGGAAAACTCCCGAAAGGGCCATCGACTGGAATTGTTCCACAAAGGTCATTGTTAGAAACATCACTGCAACATTCCAAGTTTCAGAGCATAATTTGTACAGTAATGACTATGAAACTAACTCTATAAAAAATGTTAACTCTAAACTTTGCATTTCTCATTATTATACATACAAGACTTTGAGGTTGGACAGAGCAGTAAGTTCCCTCGGAATCGACCCTGTTTGCTTGTTGTCATTTAGCCGTCTGCACCATCGAATTACAGATGCAAATTGCAATCCTATCAACATATAATTATCAAGTGATAATTTACAAATCGCAGTAATAAAATAGACTTACAGAAATCTGAGAGACTTTAATTTGGCAAAGGACTTTGGGATTCTTCCCTCAAGTCTGTTGTTATACAAGTCCATGCTTATGAGGTTTTTCAAATTACCCAACTCCTCTGGGATTTTCCCTCCTATGTTATTCCTATAAAGTTCCCTGCAAATCCATCAAGAAATTCATCCTTTGTCACACAGGAAAATCTGAGAAATTAAATTTTGAATCAGTATGGCATATATGACCAAAATGAAAGAAAAAAGTAGACAGAAAACAACATAAACATGATATTCCAAAACCTCTATTTCTTTTCTTTTTCCCTTTTAGCAGTTTCTCATCAACCAAACAGAAAAGGGTATTGAGAAAAATAAAAGCATGAATCAAATCCAAGAGTTGTGGGAATACAGGTACTGTAGGTGCTTAAGTTCACCAAGCTCCGGACCCAAAAATCCAGAAATATTTGAGTTGCCCAAGTCCCTGAAATTGGAAAGAAACAGTGAACTCTATAACTTTGTGTACAGACAACCGAATTGTAATGAAAAAAAAATCAGAAAAAGGAAGAATGAGTAACAGAGAGTGAAGATCTAATTACAAGCGAGTGACATGGTTGTTGGAGTCGCAGGTGACATGAAACCAAGTGCAAGGATTGACAAGAGTAGGGTCCCAGCTATGCAAGACATTGGTGGGGTCATGGAATCTGCTTCTCGAAGCATGCAAAGCATTTCCTGAAAGCAAAAGAATCCAAAACAAGGAGATGGGTTCATGAGAAAATTCAATTACAAACCCCAAAAAGATGTGATTGTATGGACTGAAAATTGGAATCCTAGAGATAGTAAGTGGCGGGACTCTAGGTGGCTCTACAGCCCCGGGTCGACACATGAAATAATGAAGCCGTTGAGATGTCCAAAGGGCGCCGAGGAAGTAAGCCGAGGTATGGTGACACTGGGAAGCCGGGTACGACAACTGACATCGTATTTAATGCAATGTGACCCCTCATTTATGATAGAATAAGTGAAAGTGATAAGGCAAATAAATGCGAGCCTGTTAGCATCTGTCCTCTAGGAGTCTAAGCCTACTGTCATGATGGCTAAGCATTAATAGCTGATGCGCCGAGATGACGCGATCGGCTCCCTTGAGGAACTATTCCCCCCGAGTATTCAATGCTTAGTTGATGTCGGATGCCGATCTGGGAGATTTGGGTACTTGCGGAGTGGCATGAATGCTCGACATTTGGCTAAACATTTATCCCATTTTCCTAGCATTCAATAGGAGGAGACGTGAGTAGAAAACACTCATTGTACGAGGAATAGTGTGTCAGATGTAAGATGTTCAGATGAGACTAGAGATTTTTGACAATCATTGCTAGTTCAAGTATAAATACTCCTAAAAAAAATGGACAAATGTACGCAAACTTGAATCAGGAAAATAGTCCATTGAGCAAAACCCTTCGACTTTATATTGACTTAAGCTTTGAAGAGGATTAGCAGGGCATTCTTCTGGCCCTCTTTTTTTTGACCCTGTTGTTTCAGGTTTGCCAGCTTGAAGATCGCTGTCTTATACTATTGCAGGAGTTATCCAATGCAATTTGGCACCGTCTATGGGAAACGAAGACATTTTTCCCTATAACGATCGTCTGATGGTTAACACTCGATCTCAGGGTGAGGGAGCAAATGTACGGGCTAGGAACACAGAGCCCGTTCGGCTTCCAATGGTTCAGGAGCCGAGTTCATTAGTCCAATCGGATGGGATGGGACATAACGCTCCTTATGGATCAGGGCCTTGGGGGCCGCGACCTCATGACCCATGACATTGTTGAGATGGTGGGAAAGCGGATGAGCAAACGCATTAAGTAGCTTGAAAGAAAAAATGCCAAGGTCCAGCAACGTCTTGACGATTTCGAGCAGTCAGCGAGCATGGGTGAACATAGTCGCGGGTTCGGGGACCAAGTGCCTAGCCAGAAGCTGTCCAGGCCCCTTTGGCATTGGCCCTCCAAGAAAGATTGGATTAGGCACTTGCCCAAGGGACGTAACCGCCAAGGAGGGTTCTCGGCCTCCAAGGAAAAGTCAAAATTAGGCTAGCAGGCAAGCCTGTCCAGGTGGGACCTGCGCCGAGGGATACCCGAGGGCGTCGGAGTCGCCAAATCACAAGCGGAGTCCATACCCCAAAGTCCTCAAGAAGAAATATCAAAAAAGGATCCCAGAGTCCCTTTCGTTGCTCAGCACAACCATGAGCCCGAGGTCTACTCCGAAGAAGTTATCTCACCGTTTGTCCAGGCTATCAGGGAGGCCGAGATGCCAAAAAAGTTTACCGTCCCGCAGTTCAAAGTCTATGATGGAAAAATCGATCCCGAGAGCCACCTTTGGTAATACAAATAATTGATGTCAATCTATAATACTAACCAAATGGTGTTGTGCTGAGTTTTTCCCATGAGCCTAGGGGACATAGGCATGAGGTGGTATGAGAACCTTGCTCCTGAGAGCGTTAGGTCCTGGAAAAAATTGACGGAGCTCTTCATACCTCGATTCATCACCAGCAGTAAGAAATTGAAGGACATCGGCGCTCTGTTGATGCTTAGGCGAAAAGGGGGAGAGACACTTCGACAATATGCCGTCCGGTATTGGATGAAGTGAACGAGGTGGAAGCATGTTCAGAGGCATTGGCCGCAGCGTCATTTAGGCTGGGGCTGTCCTAGGACACTGATTTGTACAAATCGCTGACTAAGAAGGCTCTGGCGGATATGAAAGACTTAATGGCTCGGATTAACAAATATGCCCGGATGGAAGAAGAATCTGTCGCGCTCGAGAGCAGGGTCACGGTGCCGAGGAAAAGGGAAAGGGAGCAGCCGGCCCGAAGGGGAGGGCCTATTCTACCCCCAACTCGCCTATCCTTCCAGGGAGTGAACATGGTCTTCAACGAGCCCATTCACAGGATACTTCCCAAAATCAAAAACAAACCCTACTTCAAGTGGCCCCCGAGGATGTTTGGAGACCCGTCGATAAGGAATGCGGCTTTTTGATGTTCATATCATAAAGATATCGACCATTTGACTAAGGATTGCAAGATTTATAAATCCTTCCTTGAACAATTGGTGCAAGACGGACACCTCGGAGAATTCATCGACAAGGGTTGTCCCGGCAGGTTGACGAGGGAGCGAGCCGAGGTAGCACCCGTGATTGATGTTATTCATGCCTGCACAGTGGAAAGGCCTACATAAAACTCCCCCCACGTCGAGTTACAGAGGGTCTCTCAAGCAGTCAGTGGAAGAAAGGGGTGATAAGCGGTCGCCCAAGAAGCCGCGGAGCAGTGCCGAGGTTATCCAATTTTTTGACACTGATCTCGGTGAGGTGGCCCTCCCTCACGAGGATGCATTGGTGATCACTTTACAGGTCGGAAAGTTCGACGTCAAGAGGATCTTAGTGGGCTCAGGCAGTTCTTCCGAGGTGATGTATGATCACCTCTTCCGCAAGATGAGACTCTCTCAAGGAGATCTGGAACCCATAAAACCCCCCCTCATCGGCTTTAATGATTCCAGCGCCCTACCCCTTGGAAAAATCACCCTCATGGTACGAGGGGGGTGGTGACCACGCTAGTGAAATTTGTGGTGGTGAACTCCGACTTCCCTTACAACGCTATTATGGGGAGATCGTGGTTGCATGCAATAAAGGTGGTCCACTCATCCTATCACCCAAAAGATAAAGTTCCCAACATCGCAGGGCATAATAGAAATTCAGGATGACCAGGCGTCGGCGAAAAGCTGTTTCTATGCCGCGGTGAAAACGGGAGTCGGCGGGCGGAGTCAAAAGCGTGATCCCGATGCGGTGGTTGCTAAATAGCAATCACAGAGTGGTCGTCCGGGAGTGGACGAGCCCATTACAGAGCTGGCCGACCGGTCAACTAAGGCCTTGGTGAAGATTCTCTTGAGCCCAGATAACGGTGAGAAGTACTTTTTGGTATGAGAGTCACTCAGCGACGCAGAGAGAAATGATATGTCCTCATTTTTATGCTACAACGCTGATGTCTTTGCGTGGACCTAGGCTGAGATGACGGGGATAAGTGCCGAGGTGATGACTTAGCGGCTACATGTGAATTCCTTATTAAAACCCGTTAGGCAGAAGGCCCAGAGAATGGTGCCTCACCACGCAAAGGTTGTGGATAAAGAGGTGGATAAGTTGTTGGGGGCAGGTTACATCAAAAAGGTACAGTTCCCCCAGTGGTTATCCAATACCGTGTGCGCCAAGAAGAAAGAAGGTAAATGACGAGTTTACGTGGATTTCACGGACCTGAACAAGGCTTGGCCCAAGGATGAGTACCCCTTGCCCAAGGTTGATCAGCTGGTAGACGCCACAACCGGCCACAAGCGCATCACTTTTATGGATGCTCAGGCTGGATATCACCAGATTCCCTTGCATGAATCAGATCAGGAGAAAACGACGTTCATCACACCCTGGGGGATCTACTGTTACATAGTGATGCCTTTTGGGTTGAAGAATGCTGGGGTGACCAACCAACATTTGATGAACAAAATTTTCAAAGACCAACTCGGCGACACGATGGAGGTGTACATTGATGACATGTTGGTCAAAAGCAAAAAAAGGGCCGACCATCTCTATGATCTCGGGACGACATTCGTCATCCTCTGAAAGTATGGCCTAAAACTAAACCCCTTGAAATGCGTTTTTGGAGTGAGCTCAGGTAAGTTTTTGGTGTATTTGGTTACTCACCGAGAGATCGAGGCGAACCCCAAGCAGATACAAATAATCTAGAATGTCCGGGCACTTAGGACCATTAAGGATGTTCAAAAATTGGTCGGGATGTTGGCAGCCCTTAACAGATTTATTTTCAAGTCGTCCGATAAGTGCAAACCATTTTTTGCCAAGTTGATGGGGGGGCTAAGGGGGTTTGGGACGGGGAATGTGGTCGAGCTCTTGAAGGGATCAAAGAGTACTTGAAACATCCTTCGACTTTATCTGTTCCAGCGGCAGAGGAGGTGTTTAGCCTTTACTTGTCTGTATCTCGAGACGGCGTTAGTGGAGCACTGGTCAGGGATAGCGAAGGGCCCCAAAGACCCGTGTATTTTATAAGCAAGACCTTGCTTGACGCCGAGACAAGGTACTCTCCATTGGAGAAATCGGTCTTGGCATTGGTAATCTCGGTGAGGAAACTTCGACACTACTTCCAGGCTCACGCCACAGACGTCCTTACAGATTGACCTCTCAAGTCGATCATTCACAGGGCCGATATGTCCGAGAGAGTTTCCAAATGGGCTGTAGAGCTCAGGGAGTTTGAAATCAGGTACAAGTCTCGAACGTCAATAAAAGGACAAGTCTTAGCGGACTTTGTCGCCGAGTTCTCTGCGTCTGAGCCCCCACCAGTGTTACAGGATCTAACAGGGGACGTTTGGGATCTTCATGTTGATGGATCCTCGAACGCAAAGGGGGCAGGGACAGGTATTGTACTAGTCAACTCAGAAGGGTTCATCATTGAAAGGGCAATCAGATTAAAATTCAAGACGTCCAATAACGAAGCCGAGTATGAGGCGTTGCTAGCAGGACTGGATGTCGCATGCTTGATTAGGGTTAGATACCTTCGGATCTTTTGCGATTCTCAACTGGTCGTGAACTAGGTAAATGGGGGACTTCGAGGTCCGGGATAGCAAAATGAAGGCATATCATGAGAAGGTAAAATTCAGGATAAAAAAGTTAGAAAAAGTGAAAGTTTATCA